CCTTATCCTTCAGAGAAACCTCATATGTTTTGACATGGCGAACATCTTTATTATCCTGCAATATTTCAACCACAGTAAGGCAATCAAAATTTTTGTCCGAAATACTCCTACACTATTTTACCACCCAAAAAGGCCTCCCACAGTTTTAGTATATGCTAATGTTATATGGGCAATACCCTAACACAACACATGAACACTGTTCTGTACTTGGAAATGGAGCAGAGTACAAGGATCTTAGATAGTTTATGTATAAATATGTAGAAATACACCAACATCACTGACCAGATCACGCTTGTTTTAATCAAGTTTTCCATTTCGAAACTGCTGTACTAATAGGTTCTTACATAGGCATTGCCTAAGCCTTTGCTTAAATAATCTTCAATCCAATACAAGAAACATAACAAACAGAACAGTGTACAGAAAACTTGAACAAACGATACTTAGACAATTTAAGTGATAAGAAGATAGAGAAATACTACGGTAGCCCAACATAAACTTGATATCCCAATGAAAGGAATGACTAGTACCTGATATAGAACTACAATTGTTGGTTTTGAACAACCATATAGAAACTTGATATCCAAAACTTGAAGTTCCTCAAGCCTGAAAAGTTACCCAAAGATATAGTTAGAGTGAAAAGAAATTATAATTTCACACAAAAAGAAGGGAACAAGAAATTGTAATCAATTTATTTGAGTAAATTTTAAATACACGTCATGGTCAATTAATCACAAGAAGACTAAACCACAACATATATATATATATATATATATTACTATATACCGTATATTAAATGCTTCCTTGAGCTGCCCTTTATTATCAAAAGGAATAACCTGAAAAACCAACAGCATATTGTGTCATTTCTAAACTATAAATGTGATGACAAAATGAAGATCTTTATATTTCTTCCCAGTAAAAGATTAAAAACCACACACCTTAAACAATCCATCATACAAATGGAGTCCAATTAATCTGCAATCTGGATCAATAATACCAATCTGCAGAAAAATAGTAGGTAAAGAAAATGTACATTAGTAATATTTATGGTTTAGACTTCAACTCCAGAAAGACATAAATGTTTTAACACGAAAAGCCTACAGGAATTGAGGGTCGTAGAATCATTTAACTTACTTGACCATTGTCTGTAGGACGACCTATGCGATCTGAGACATCCCCCATTGCCCTACACGACAAGGACATGCATTTGTCAAAAAGATACATTTACAGCCCATATAAAATGAGTGTCAAAAAAACTGTTGACTGAAGGTTAACAACTAAAAGACAACAAAAGGAATTCACCACCTATAAAGCATCATTATGTTTCTAGAAGACTGGATTACTGGAATTTACTATGTACTTTTGTGAATAATTTAAACGACAAGAACCACTTTCACTTGGTTTGCATATCTAACCTTGTGATGAGCTCAGATGCTTCGGCATCCCACTGAAGAACACAAAATTTGTACCTTTCTGTTGCAATAAATAGAAAATCCTGTGTTTCACCCTGTCGAAGAAAAAAAAAACACTATTAAAGCCCGGAAATTAATAATACGAAACAAGACAAAAATATGAAATAAATACTCACATGAGGCCGGAAAAGTTCAAGCGTCGCTATTCTTCCATATATTGGGACATCCAAGATAGGCTGTAGAGAAAAAAATTTAGCTTAATGCATGCTAATGGTTTTTTAGATGGCAACAGAAACAAAGCTACAAATTTGATATTTTATAGCAGAAAAAGACAAAAATCAGAGAAGTTCAAACGTTAATTCAACATTGGAATATATAGTTTATTCGATTGTGCATTGTAAATGTATTTCAAATTCCATGAAATGGGTTTATGAGGCCGGAAATAAATAATATTCCATACAGTCGAGTAAAACTTATTGACTAGTTCTGTACTATAATTCTATAGGACTAAGTTTTCAGTGAAATGAGTAGATGATAATTCTTATTAGGAGATGACGTATGTGCAATGCAAAGGACTAAGTTCTCAAGTTTGAAAACTTGATTCTTGGATGAATCATAACTAATTTGTTCCCAATAACTTATAAATCCCTGGAAAGTCAACATAACATCATCAACTACCAAAAAGGTGCAAGAAATACCGAAGGGCAACAATTTCCCCAAGAATGACACCGGACAGTTCACATTTAAAAATACAACGATACAATTCCTGGAACCCGAGGTTTTAATTGCACGACACACATGTAAGCTATTAACTTTAAAATATCTATCAGTTTTTCTTTTACAACAAAATAGATTGACATACCTGCAGTCCCAGAGGAGTAAGTAGCTGAATTTCAATTCGCGTACATTTCCTGAAATCAAGATTAACGAAGCCAAATCCAATCATGAACTAGATAGAACTTTGGACAAGAAATCTTGCTGCAAAATAATATGATTAATCAACGAAATTTGTGATGTATGATTCATGACAATTTGCATTGAAGCCATATACACCACAATAAAGAATCTACGTGTTATGCGCAGACGTGAAAGCTCTATCGATAGAAGCATTCTAGACTATCGATAGAACCAGTGCCGCACGAATCCTCCCCACTAAAAGATCAAATGATAATCTCGATAACCTAAACAGAGCTACAAGTACAAACATTTCATTGTTTTCCCATAAAACACCGGGCATTGCACCGCTAAGCTCGAAAAACTGCCAGGATACCCCAAACTTAACCGCCTTAGGCCCGAAATCTGAAGTTTTTTTTTTTTTTTTGCTTTGAAATTTTAATCTTGCAAACAACTTAATGCATGAATATCTAAGCCAAAATTAACCTGGCATATATCTATCTACCAGTATATATATGAGAAAATGAAGAGGTTGCCTCAGGATACAAAACGCATTAACGAAACCCTAGCAGAAAGATAAACTCGAAATCCAATCGAAGAGAGAGAGAGAGAGAGAGGGATTGGAGGGTGGTGACGTACGCAGTGATGAGATTGAGCTCCTGAGGGGCGGTGAAGTTGCCGACGCAGGAGTGGGTGACGTTGGTGGGCTTGTGAGCCGTTACGACGTAGTTCCATACGCTCATCTTCTTCTGCAAATCGCTTTGGTTGGTGGTTGGTTTTGTGGAGGAGGCCGAACCAGTGAGCCCTAACCAGCAGCACTCACACACACACACACTCTCTCTCTCTCTGGGTTTGTCGGGACTTGGGTGCGATCCGGGTCGGGACTTGGGTGCGATCCGGTTAGGCTAATTTATGGGCGTCGGCCTGATCCATAATTTTTTTGGATTCATGACCCACTTGGCCCGCTTAGAAAATTTATTTAAACTGATTTCTCTGTTTATCGGGTCTCGGATTCAAATCTTTCATTTTTCCGGTAGTGTAAATTAAACTAGTAATATTTCTTGTGTTAAACGGAAAAAAAATGAATTGGATAGACTTTTGAGTATGACAAACTGGTTACGTACATGTGATGAGAGAGAGAAACATAGTTGTGTAAAAAAGTTGACGACTTGACACGCAATAATATCTCAATACGTATAGTGTGTTCTTCATAAATTATGTCCAAGTCAAATTTTACCAATTTCCATTTTATTTTTCAATTTTAGTATTTTTCTTGCTTTTGGTCTTGTTTAGGGTTTTTTTTTCCTCTTTTACAATTAGGTTATTCTTTTTAACGAGAAACTAAAGATTGAATTAAGGACATCTTCTAACATAAAAAGGTAAAGTGCCACTAAATAAGAGATGTTGGTGTTTCAATCAATATAATTCATACTCCTTGGGTTCCTTTTACGTTCTTAAGGCCAAAAACGACCACAACCCCAGTTTTACGGTACTTGATCAACCAAGAAATACAATTTGTAATAACTTACATGACGCAATATGTCATTCTAAATCCATTGAGATTATCTTTAGTAGGACATAGTGATGGTAAGAATAGATTAGAGATATTTAAAGCTCAAAAAACCCCGTTTATAACCTAAAACTAGCTTCCAATCTAATATCCCATAAGCATGAAATTCAATTAAAGTAAGTGGTAGAAGGTCCAATGTGAGGAAGTTTTTTAGGAGAGAAATTTTCGTGCAAGCAGTTCATACCTCTAATCATCTCTCTATCTCACTTTTCACGTTATACAAAAACTATTTTCGTTAGCGAGCCCTATTAGCTACTAAGCAACACTTTTCTAAATATCGATCTAGGTGGCATCTAGGCGTTGGACAGTAGAAGACCGATGTGATTAGGCTAAAACGTGGAGAAAAATCAGTTAGGGCCTAGGCAGATTTAGGCTAGGTGGTGCCTATGCAGATTTAGGGTTTCGTTGTGTTTAATTCTTTTAAATTAAGTTAGAGAGCTTTCTGGGTAACCTACCTAAAAAGAACCCATATTATTTATCTCATCATTTCCGTGTTTTTCTTCTCCTTGTCCCTCCACATAGACGCATTCTCCCTCTCTTTCTCACTCTTTGCCTCCGCTCGTGCCGACTGTGATTCTATCTAGGACGTCTCTCGCAGATGTGGATGCCTAGACTCTCATGCCATCGCCTGAACTCATTATGCAGCCTGCTCAAACTTTGTGAGTAGGTTTTCAATTTTTTTTTTTTGTTTTTTTATATTTTAATCTTTAATTTTCTTCACACTACAATTGAATGGTGTTGAATTCTAGATGCACGATCCCATTTACACATATTGATTCATTGAATCATTGATTAATCTGTGATGAAAGATGATGTCAATTTAGATTATGAATTATTGAATTTTCAATTTTGGTTTTGGGTTTTAGGTTTTTCTTATTTTTGTTGCATTGGCCTATGATGATGCTAATGTCATTACGGTTTTAAGTTTTAACTTTCCTAAATTCTCAATACAAGTATATTTTCTTTAGAGTGTAAGTAGGCACCTATTTATATGTTATGTAATAAAATTAATTAAATCCGCTTAGTTTGCCTATGAGTTAGGTCTCAGCCCGACTATCGTCTGACGTCTTTTAGAACATTGCTAAGCAGTTGTATTGAAACGAAAAGGTCATCATTTTTAGCCCATGTTCTATGAATATAAGACTTAGAAATATCATTCAGTGCAAGAGTTCACAAACATCTTCCTCTATTAATTACAGGGCACCAATATTCTTAAGGCCAAGAACAACTCCAACCCCAATAATGTGACCAACAGAACCACAGGCCAATGTATCAGCAAGTGTAAACCCAGCTGGGTCGCCGGTCTGCAGCCCAGAGTCCCTTGTTTCAAGCTTCAATCCTGCCGTTGACTTCCTGTTTGCCGACGGAGCCAACCCAAATCTTCCGGCAAACAACATTAGGGTTGTTGTGGTCACCATTATCTGTCCAAATCAAAATTGATTAATAACTTAATTACATTCACATTCCACTATATGATCTGGTTTTTGTGCATATAATTAAGTGAAATATTTGCTTACCAAATTGGTAGGTGAGCCGATGAAATCGCAGCGAGCTCCTAGAGCGCCCTGCCCCTTGCGCCTCATCGGTTGAACAACTGCCTGAAAAACAAGGAACGCATCAATTCAACTTGCGCACTAGTTTGCCTCGTAAATGGTTTGTAGTTCAGACAGTTAATAACATTCACTCCTCTATGTTCCACTATATTCAAGACTACAAGTACTCCAAAAGCATCTATACCCTTACACATGTTGCACTCGATATTTTGTGTTTAACATCCGCAATGACGCAACGAGAAACATGATAGACAAGGTCGACAAACGTCAAATCCTAGGCGTATATTCTACATCATGCCATGAAACACATTGAAAAGAACTTACCATGCTTTGCGCATTGGAGAATGAGATTTTGGGTCTGAGGCCATTGAATTGCGGGAGAGAAGTGGTCACAGTGGCAGCTGCCATTTTCTGAATTTTGTATTGCAATTTCTCTCTTTCTTTTGTTTTGATAATTTTATGAGCTTTTGCATCCCGTAATATTGTTATAAACCTTTTGAGCCACAGCCACACGAGCAACCTGTGGCTTCAGAATTCCCAGATTCGGATACGCCAGGATCCTTGCCTGCTGACGTGGCCCTTTGCCATTGGATTTGATCGTATTACTTAATTGGATAAGGTTCCGCGTGCTGGCAGCGGCTTCTGATTGCATTTGATTTTTGGATCTTCACATTAGGGCTTCGATTGGGCCAAGTTGGGCGGGGCTGGGTTGGCCCTGATTGACTGAAATTCAAATCCAATCCATTGATGGACCAACATTGAAGTTTTGAACAGTGACCGAGGGTAATATTGCCATTTCAGGTGTATTGTTTATGTTAATGATGATTTGGTTTCCCAGGCCCCCCTGGGGGGGAGAACAAAAGATTTAATCCACAGAGATACTGTGCAGGTGAGTGACTGGCCCCCACATTTACGTCTCTAGATTTCTGATTCTTCTGCTCGCATATATCATCTCTCAATATATCTTGCAAAATGATAAGGGTAATCTTGTCATTTCAAGAATAAATTGTTTTCATATTTGTTTTTATATAAATTTATGATACGGTTAAGAACATTTATCTAATAATGCTCTACCTCGAATGGTTGTTACTCTCTTATTAGCAGAACTTATTATTATAAGAAATGTGTTAGTAATGTAATAAGATATTTTGTTATTGGACATGAATATTTGGTATGAGAAATGACAAAAACATCAACAATGGAATGTCATTTTTTTTGTCATTGTAACAGTATCTCAAACCAATCATGCATTGTCATGTAAGAAAGTTAAAACGCTTAACAAAACGTAACTAACTTAAAATGCCGCCACAATATCAACCCCCGATCTACAAAAGACCTAGAAAAGAAAGGAAGATGAAATCCACAATGGGAGAAACATCTTATTCCATGCAAAGTGATGGTTAAATTTAGAAGTCCATATGATGTTCCCCCCAAACAAGACAACATGAATGAATACGTTTAGAAGAAGAAGGCAATCAGGCAAAAGGTGAAAAGAGAGGATTTGATTAATTAGCAGTAATAGATTCCTAAACCAAAAACAAAGATAGGGATAAAGCATATTACGGTTACAAAACCCCAATCTAATCATGTTCTCATCTCCTGCTTTTTCCCCCCACAGTGACAGCAAATAGCTTTTTGTACAAGCAGGTGGAATTTTGGCTTTTCTTGGCAGCAGTTTAATTAACCTCATCAAAATATCAGCTTCCCAGATACAAAGGCAGTAAAAGGCAAGCAAGTTGCCACCAAAGAGAGCTGGGATTTTGCTTGGAAAACGGAGGTGCTGCAGAGCCTACAGATCTGTCAAAAAAAAAAGAAGATAATGTGTGTATCAATCCATGAGCATTGTGTAAATAACATAGACACTTTGTCTTTCAGATTACGAAAACTAAATCGCGTCGGGGGAACAAGCGTACCCGGGCGCAGCATAGACGCATTTTCCTTGACCTGTAATAATGTGATGAAACTGATCAGTAGAGCAGAATTGAAGGCATAGATTCAACACTTAAAATGACGATATCAAGAGCAATATCATTCAAGTAGAGTTTGTGTATGATCCCCGAACGGAACTTACATTCTTGTTACTTATTGCTATGTGGAGAATCTAGAGATAACCATATAATCACGAGAATAATCTGAAAACTTGGTAAGATTGGCAACACTACCAAATGGCCATCGAACCCCTTTAAGAACACGAGCGCAGTGTGAAATGCCGAGTTAAAAATCTGGGACGAACTAGACCTTTGGGGTTGCAAACTCCAAAAGTGACGTAACTGTACCTTAAAATTTCAATTTCAAAGCACAATGACTAAGGGCCAGTAAATAATTCATTTGATTGTTTTGATACGAAAAATCCAATTAGGTATGACCTCAAAAATTGATCTCTAAGTTGTTCTAAGTTCGAATCCACGAGAAGATATTACAAGTGCCCCGTTGTTACAGTAATTACTATAAGGGAGAATGGGGAGATGTATAACTTACTTGGGTTAGTTTTAGTGACAGCAGCAGTTCCCCCAAAATTGCAGGCAATATCTGAATTCCCGTTCTGCTGATAATAATTATTGAAAGCGTAAGAGGCATGGGACACCAGAGTATCTGGTTCGTAACACGCTCCACCTTGTTGAATTGGCTTGCAGTCTGCCATTCCCAATCCACAGGCCCAGTCTAATGCATTCTGCAAATCAGCTTGGGAAACCCCGGGAAGGGCTACGCACCATGTTGTGCCATCAAGGAATGTTGTGTTCCCTTCTGGTGGTGACAATGTGGTGTCTGGTATTGCTCCATCTTGCAGCGCCACTTCCATTGATGAAACTAAAAATTTGCAGAAAGATTGAATAATGTTTCATCAGGGTGACTTCATTGGTCATTGTTTATATAAAATCTAACCAGGTCACGGACAGTTCGAGTTTATAAAATGATTGATCCTATTTGAAATTAGCTTAAACATATATATGCATTGGTCTGTCATCTGTGTAGCTCATCTACCATTATGTACAAGGTGGGTAGAGATTCAGTAAAATAAATCTTCAAGTTCAGGAAAACTCCCTACAAACTCAAGCAACAAAACAAAAAGAAAAGTGGATAGTAACCCTAAACTTGAATAATACAAGGGAATAAGTGGCCTGGAAGATCATGTGCCTCATGTCTTATAGGCAACATGGACCCCCAATAAAAGTCAGAATTGGCATCAATAGAACTCACAAAGGATAGGAATTTCAGTAGGTTTGTCTAACTATGATATCTCTCACAGCATGTGGTATCAGCATGGAGTCAAGCGAAACCAATATACAGGAATATTGTGTTTTTATGAGTAATACCCTACATTCCATGACACAGGGGTGCCTGCCTAGAGACTACTTTTTCTTTTCTTTTTGGTTCAAAAATTGGTGACAGAAATAGAAGGGTTGGCCTACTTCCCAAGCAATTACATTTTTTTTCCCTAACAAAAAATCCTTCCCTTGCTTATAAAATATAAATGGTTATGGTAAATAAAATATAAAAATTAAAACTTTTAGTACTAGATGAGAGCATGATCATCCCTTTATCACATAAAATATTGATGCAAATCTCAGAATGTTTCTCTCCAATATTTTTTAAATAAAAATAATTCTGTAAGCTTCAAATGTCCATATTCAACTGTATGTTTTCTGGGAAACAGATCATAAAGCAAATATATAAACCTGACCAGAAACTGCCAACTTCTAAACAACAAGATCTCAAAACAAAAATACAAAAACAAATAAATAGCAAGAAAAAATAACATAAAAACCAGTAAACTCGAAAGCTAGCTTTGCTTTAAACAGAAAACATGAAGGAAACAGGAGAGAAGTTACCCAGATGGCATCCCATGAACAAAAGGCACTGCAAAACCAAAACCCATAGCTTCTTTCCCATGCTTGATGATAACATTCCTCACCCTTCTCCAAGAAAACAAATAAATATATGAACAAAAAGAGGAAGAAAAAAACCCTCAGCAGAAAATATACTAAATACAAAATTTAAAACTGAAAGCCCCACTACTCTCTCTCTCTCTCTCTCTCTTCTCTTTGTGTTTAAGAGGAGTGAGAAGCATTTGAGAATAAATGGGAGGTATAAATGCAAGGGTTTGTTGAAGAATCTGCAGTTTCTTGAGAGGGAAATTATTTCTTTTTCACTTTTTTTTCTTTTTTGTTTTTGAGTACTCAAGAACGTGACAAATGCTTTCAGAAGCTAAGTAATTCACTCTGTACTACTCACTTTTACAATTTTAGACATTTCAGAGTGAGGCTTCAGAGTTCAGACAGCTAAAATATGAAAAACTTTATTCACAAGGTGGTGGTAGAGTGCCCTCTCACCCATAAAAGAAGAGATTTTTCAGTATGACTATCACATGAAGTAGTACACCATATGTCCCTATATAAATGGTAGATTATGTGTGTTAAAAGATAAATAACTTAAAAATTAAAATTTTTCATCACTTGTATAAAAACATGTGGTGTACCATCCGTTTTTCCGTCACAACTAAAAATTCAATATTTAGGTCTTGGTTTAATTTTTCAATTCTCACTCAATTTCTCATATGATATATTGTATCCATACCACCACCCCTTGGATTTTCTCGGGAATTTGCATGTTTTGATGAAGTGATTTTTGTCCACGAACTTTGAAATTAAGGAAACCTACTGAGCAAGTACTGGCCGGGTTGAGTTCTGGGCTCAATTGGGTTTTGTTTTGAAGTGGCCCAATTTTGGGGACAGGGCCTATGATGTGGAAGATGAAGTTGGGTCTGGTGGGCTATGCTTTTGTCCTTATAATCATTTTTTTTAATTTTTTTTAAGTGAGCATTTTTGCTCACCACTATAAATTATGATGTATGCGATCATACGCATAACGGTCACGTATACTTTACTTAACTTTGGTAAAAAAAAAAATTCAAAATTGAAAAAGAAAAATTTAATGTGAAAGTTAACTAAAGTTAAATAAAAGGTCACAAATAATTAGATGTATGATGAACATACAACATAGTGATGATGGTGAGCAAAAATGCTCTTTTTTTTAATACATAAAATCCCCTAATAATTTGATAACGTTAATGAGAAACATTTCAAGAATCAAAATTTTACTAATGTTGGCATAGTCAGAATGGTTATAACATTTGAGTTTGAGTTCCCATCTTGTTAGTTTAGAGTTAGTTTAAATAGCACAGTGCTTATGTAGAAAAGAAACTCCCTGCTTATATAGAAAAGAAACTCCCCACTGGTACTACGGTAATAGTCAAGTGCAAAGACAATTGGAGTTTAAGTTTTTTATTTTCTTCAAAACTAAACGTAGTTTTGATTGACATATTCATGGAAAAAAAAAAACATATAGTCCTACTTACCTTTTTTCCCCCAAGTGTATTATTAATGTGCTAGAAAAATTCTTTATCTTTAGTTTTGACGACAATGTACCTATAAAATAAATAAACGCCTTAATCAAGGTCAAACTTCAAAACCTCACGAGCCCACATA